TGATTCTGCTGAACACAATGTTTCTGAAATTGTTCCCATTTTTGCACCGATCTCTAACTCAGTCCTTTCCATTTCGGACTCTGCATATGCTCAGTCCACCTTATTGAATACCTATCTCTGTTTAATACACCGTCTTGAAAGAAAAACTTAAAATTAAGATATTTTCAGGAACATACAGTTCAATCCTGAGGAATCTATGTAGCAATATTCTCAGAAGCCGTCTGAACTTACTCAGGGGAAGTCTTTGTCTTCATTCACATAAGAGTCTAATGGGATTAATATCAAGAATCTTCATGCCATGTTCATGATCCCAACTTGGGTAATTTTATGCTTATTTCTAAATGAAGTCATCTCTTTATTATAGTTTTTTGACTAATGCTGTTTTTGTGTTTGTTTGGTTTTTTTGAGATGGAGTCTTGCCCTGTCACCAGGCTGCAGTGCAGTGACACCATCTCAGCTCACTGCAACCTCCGATTCTCTGGTTCAAGTGATTCTCCTACCTCAGCCTCCTGAGTAGCTGAGACTACAGGCACGTGCCACCACACCTAGCTAATTTGTGTATTTTTAGTAGAGACAGGGTTTCACCATGTTGGCCAGGATGGTCTTGATCTCCTGACCTTGTGATTCACCCACGTTGGCCTCCCAAAGTGCTAGGATTACAGGCATGAGCCACCACACCTAGCGACACATACTGATTTTTTTTTAATTTATTATTATTTTTTTTTAAGACGGGGTTTCACCATGTTGGTCAGGCTGGTCTTGAACTCCCGACCTCAGGTGGTCCGCCCACCTTGGCCTCCAAAGTGCTTGGATTACACGCGTGAGCCACCACGCCCAGCTATGCTGATCTTTAAATGGCAGAGATTCATGTAATCTAAGAAAGAAGTGTGATTCACAGGTATTCTTTTATCATGGAATAATGAAAGGCTCAATGACATTTACCATGTATTTACCATGGGTCACCTAATAAATAATTCCAATGTTATATGTCAATATAAAAAGTAAGTAAATTTAATAAACGATAATTACTTTATGCCTAGCTTGTCCAACCCACAGTTGACCAGCCACATGCAGCCCAGGACAGCTTAGAATGTGGCCCAACACAAATTTATAAACTTTCTCAAAACATTATGATTTCTTTTTGCAATTTTTTTTTTTTTTAGCTCATCAGCTATTTTTAGTGTTAATGTATTTTATGTGTGGCTCAAGATAATTCTCCTTCTTTTAAGATAGCCCAGGGAAGCCAAAAGATTGGACATCCTTGCATTAGAGAAAAGATACCACATTCACAATGCTTAAAAACACTACCAGCCATGCAAGAACCATAAGGCAGTTAACTTCCAATCCTTCTTGAAGCAGTGGGATTCCCTGGTGATAGCTGAGGGGTGTGGTTACCTCTTGGAGGAGGTTGAGGGTTTCTAAGGATGATTCCTTGTGACTAAAATATGGTAAATGTCATTGAGCCTCTCATTATTCCATCTATTATTATTCCAGGTCATCAATGTCCTCCCTGAAAGTTTGCATCCAGGGCCTGGCTTTTCTGAAATTCCCTGGATGTTTATTATAATTGCTGTTTCCCTGGGAATTTGTTCCCTTGCCATTTTGTTGTGGATAACCAGCCTTGGTGTGAGTATATAACTTCCTGTAGAGGTTCACTTGTAACCATAAATAAGAAGAAAGTATTTAGAACAATTCATGGTTCTAAACTTTATTATGAATGTTGAATTTTACAAAAAAACAAATCAGGGAAATGATTTATTACCCTAAGAATAATGAAAATATCTACCATTTACAGAATGAAAATTAAGTAGGTTCATGTTTGTTTAATAGGATGTCAACAGAGCTTTTGGTCAAAAACATGTTTTTTATCTTTGTGCTGTTTTATCAGAAATTAAGAAAAGGGGCCGGGCATGGTGGCTCAGGCCTGTAATCCAAGCACTTTGGAGGCCAAGGCAGGCGGATCACCTGAGGTCGGGAGTTCAAGACCAGCCTGACCAATGTGGTGAAACCGCCTTTTATTTATTATTTATTTATTTATTTATTTATTGAGGCAGTGTCTCGCTCTGTTGCCAGGTGTTAGGCTGGAGTGCAGTGGCACAATCTCGGCTCACTGCAACCTCCGCCTTCCGGGTTCAAGCAATTCTCCTGCCTCAGCCTCCGGAGTAGCTGGGACTACAGGCACACGCCACCACACCCAGCTAATTTTTTTGTGTTTTTAGTAGAGACGGGGTTTCACCATGTTGGCCAGGATGGTCTCGATCTTTTGACCTGGTGATCCGCCCGCCTTGGCCTCCCAAAGTGCTGGGATTACAGGCTTGAGCCACCGCGCCCGGCCACCCCCTTTTATTTAAAAAAAAAAAAAGAAAGAAAGAAAAGAAAAGAAATGAAGAAAAGTTAAATGCTGGAGTCCTTTTCACTCGCCTATTACAGGACACTTTTATCTTTTCCCACAGCACCCTCTCCTGGCTTGGACTCTGCTCTGCGGGTTCTGGATGCCTTTTCTGTCTGGCCTTTTTCCCCATGAGCTTCCAGGCTTCTCCATTCCCAGCTGGTCATCTTTGTTGGCACCGCCAGAAGCCGTGAATGCTTAGGGACTGAGGACTGAAGGGCTTCCACTGGTCTGTTTGCAGAAATAACACGAGGCGATGCCACTGAGCTCCACTACTGGAGGTCTCATGGCCCAGGGAATCCTGACAGATCCATTTGACTCCAAATATTGTGGGGTCCTGTTTCCAAAATATGTAGGGTTTTGTTTTGTGCTGTGATTTTATTTCTCTTCTTCTATAAGGTAGGTGATTAGCATTCAGAATATCTGCTGTAATCCCAGAAGTGGAAAAAAGTCAAAACTCATTAATCCAACATTAATTAGTATGTGCTATGTGCCATTTTGAATACTCTTGGACAAAGTCAGTGCCATAATTCATCATAGTCCCATCTGTGTTGTGCAGCATTGCTCCCACTCCCACCCAGTGGCACCCTAGATCTCACATTCTAGGTATAAGAGGTTCCACATTTGTAATAGAGAATGTGCCCTGGCTGTGAGGTAGTGAAGAGCAAACGTCACTCATTACCTACAAGGACAATTCCCAATGACGACCTTCAACTATGCTCAGTGAAGCTGGTTCTCAGCCTCTATAGTTTTGAAAGCTGCTGAGTCCTCTGATCACAAACGATAGGACTTGCACACCTACAATTTTTTTTTTTTTTTTTTTTTTTTTTTTTTTGGGACGGAGTTTCACTCTTGTTACCCAGGTTGGAGTGCAATGGCGCGATCTCGGCTCACCGCAACCTCCGCCTCCTGGGTTCAGGCAATTCTCCTGCCTCAGCCTCCTGAGTAGCTGGGATTACAGGCACGCGCCACCATGCCCAGCTGATTTTTTGTATTTTTAGTAGAGACGGGGTTTCACCGTGTTGACCAGGATGGTCTCGATCTCTTGACCTCGTGATCCACCCGCCTCGGCCTCCCAAAGTGCTGGGATTACAGGCTTGAGCCACCGCGCCCGGCTGCACACCTACAATTAAACACATTTTTGTTTTTTGTTTTTTTGGGGTTTTTTTTGTTTTTTTTTAGGTGGACAAGAAGTAAATTTATTGGTTCATATTATGAGGGTGCAGCACAGTGGAAGCCCTCATGAGTGCAGGGCCCGCCACTTATCCAGAGGGCCACGATTGGGGATGTACTTAACCCTACAGCCATCTGGGATGAGCCGCTTCTCAGCCACCATGTCTTCAAATTCATCAACATTGAACTTGGTGAAGCCCCACTTCTTTGAGATGTGGATCTTCTGGCGGCCAGGGAACTTGAACTTGGCCCTGCACAGGACCTCAATCACATGTTCCTTGTTCTGCAGCTTGGTGCAGACGGACATGATCACTTGGCCAATGTGAACCCTGGCCATAGTGCCCTGGGGCTTTCCAAAGACACCTTGCATCCCTGTTTGGAGCCTACATTGGGGCAGTGCAAGGTCAGACACATGAACATACATCTGGAAGCCCTGTCTCCAAGGTCCCTTAGAGCAACCCATACAAGAAACAGGCTGCATACACTACCAAGGAAGCTGCTGTTTGCAGCCATTGAATCAAACACATTTTTAAAACTTCTGTTGTTTAGAATTCCCACCTCATTTTTCCATGGAAAAAATTATTATGTTTTATGTCATAGTGCACTTAAAAGTTGGTATGAGCTGGAAGTTAAAAGAAATATGATAGCTGTGCCAAACTAACATCTGTGCGTAGGATTGTTCTGTCAGAAATCCCTCTCCCAATTCCCCTGCAGGTCTTCAGGAATCCAGATCTCCCCAGAGATCTTTGTGCCCACAGGTGGCACCTCCAGAGTGGAGAAGAGCCTTTGTCAAGAAGGGAAGCAGAGCGGGGATGAGAGGGTCCTGCAGGCAGAGCTGGAATCGACTTCCACTCTGCCTCTTGCAAGCTGTGTTACCCTGGGTGAACGTTCTCCTTCTTTTGGGAGCCTCCATTTTCTTAGACTTGGAGCAGGGTGGTCACACTGACGTTGCAGAGTTCTGAGAATCAGAGACAGAACATGAAAAGCCTGGAGAACATTCTCGTAAGAATAGCTGTGACTTAGCCGGACACAGTGGCTCACGCCTGTAATCCTAGCACTTTGGGAGGCTGAGGCGGGCGGATCACCTGAGGTCAGGAGTTTAAGACTAGCCTGACCAACATGGAGAAGCCTTGTCTTAAAGAAAAAAAAAAGAAGAATAGCTGTGACTTGGCTGGGCACGGTGGCTCATGCCTGTAATCCCAGCACTTTAGGAGGACAAGGCGGGTGGATCACAAGATCAAGAGATCGAGACCATCCTGGCCAACATGGTGAAACCCCGTCTCTACTAAAAATACAAAAATGTTAGCCGGGAGTGGTTGTGCGTGCCTGTAGTTCCTGCTACTCGGGAGTCTGAGGCAGGAGAATTGCTTGAAACCGGAAAACGGAAGTTGCAATGAGCCAGGAAATAAAAATTTTAAAAAAAGAATAGCTGTGACTTAGCTTTGCATAGCAGTCGTATTGGAGCCAATGAGGTTTATCTGAGGTGCGATTATGGCTAATTTAAAACTTCTCCAATACCCCGCTGTGACCACTTGCAATATAATCGGCATCGGCAATTTTTGACAGTCTCTACAGAGACTGAGTATATATTTAAAACTCAGTCTCCGTAGAGACTGTCAAAAATTGCCAGTGCCAATTATATAAGAATGCGGATAAACATAGACAGCCCTGTGTCAGAAACATGCTTCTTTATTACTGTGTAGTGACTCTGTCTTCCCTGGGACAGGCCCCCAGCCTGCCTACATTTGCAGACAGACACAGTGGCATAGGGACAACAGTTTGTCCCCATGGCTTGTTTTCACTTCCCTGCTATCAGCAGGACTCTGTGGAACGGATGCTTTATAGCACTGATGCTGCCATTTAGAAACTTGAAGAAGGGGAAGGGGCAAGGGACCGTCACCTGCAGCATCAGGTGCAGCTTATGTGCGTATTGGGGTTTTTTCTTTCGTGTTAAAAGATTTCAAAACAGTTCCTCCTCTGCCTTGCAGGTCAACACGGCTGACGGGAGCCTCATCCTCTGTCAGGATGGCCCAACCTACCATACCTCATGGCTGGCCCTTCCAGACCATTGATGGGCTGCCAGGCGCCTCCTCCACCTCCCGGTCCTCTGGGGCCTCAATCACTCTCTGCAACTGAACCTCCTCTAGAACCTCTGATACCTCCTCCACTGGAACAACCTCTGGAGCCTGAAACACCTTCTCCAGCTGAAGGTTTCCTGAGACCTCAGACACCTCAGCCACGTGAGTTTCCTAAGGGACCTCAGCAATGTACTCCAGTTGAGTGTCCCCTGGAACCGCAATCACCTCTTGACCTTGAGTGTCCCCTGGAAGATCAACAACCTCCTATACTACAGTGTCCACTGGGACCTCAACCACCTCCTGAACATGAGTGTCCTCTGGAACTTCATCAGCTTCCTGTAGAGGAGTGCTCACTGGGACCTCAACCACCTCTTGAACATGAGTGTCCACTGGAACCTCAACAACCTCCTGAAGCTGTCTCTTTTCTGAGACCTCACCCTCCTCCTGCAGGTGTCTCCCCTACTGCAGCTGTTTGTCCCCCGGTACCTCATCTTCCACCTGCAGGCGGCTCTCCTCCCGGACCTCATCCACCTCCTGCAGGCATCTGTGTTCCGGGACCTCATGCACCTCCTGCAGGCTTCCGTCCTCTGGGACCTCATTTTCCTCCTGCAGGTGTCTGTCCTGCAACATCTCATCAACCTACTGCAGCTTCTTGTCCCCTGGGACCTCATCTACCTGCTGCAGTGTCTCTCCTCTGGGACCTCAGCAATTTTCTCCTGCTCTGTGGTCTGTGGGACCTCAGCCTACGCCTCCACTTAGCAGCCTGTTCAGCCTCAGCCACCTCCTCTACCCGGGTGGCCTGTGGCCCCTCAACTACTACCTCTACATGAGTCACCTCGGGTACTTCAATAGTCTCCACTCGTGGCCTCTGGGACTTCAGCCACCTTCTCCCGGGGCTCCTGTAGTATATCAGCCACCTCCTCTACTTGGCTAGACTCTGCCATCTCAACCGAGTCCTTCACCTCAGTGTCCTCTGGGACCTCAGCCACCTCCTATACCCATGTGTCCTCCGGGACCTCGACCACCACCTCCACATGCACCACTTGGTATGTTTTTCTGAACAGTATACATTGACTTGTGAAATGAATTTATCTTTCCTTTTATTTTTTTGAGTTAATTGAAATATCACAGATGTTACTGCAGGCCTTGCAGTACAATGGTAACAATGGCTGAGGACATGCTCACTTTTGTCAAGTTTCTGAGGGTGCACAGTCAGTCACATTATTTCTTCATCATGACCTTGGCAGGAGGTATCTCCTGTAGAGGAGGAAATAGTATTTTTTATTTTTGGGGAGGACGGAGTCTCGCTCTGTCACCTAGGCTGGCGTGCAGTGGCACAATGCTGACTCACTGCAGCCCCCGCCTCCAGTGCTCGGGTGATCCTTCCATCTAAGCCTCTGGAGTAGCTAGGACTGCAGGCATGTGCCACCATGCTTGGCTATTTTCTTAAAATTTTTTTAGGGCCGGGCGCAGTGGCTCACTCCTGTAATCCCAGCACTTTGGGAGGCCGAGGCGGGTGGATCACGAGGTCAAGAGATCGAGACCATCCTGGTCAACATGGCGAAACCCCGTCTCTACTAAAAATACAAAACATTAGCTGGGCATGGTGGCGCGTGCCTGTAATCCCAGCTACTCAGGAGGCTGAGGCAGGAGAATTGCCTGAACCCAGGAGGCGGAGGTTGCGGTGAGCCGAGATCGCGCCATTGCACTCCAGCCTGGGTAACAAGAGCGAAACTTCGTCTCAAAAAAAAAAAAAAAAAAAATTTTTAAAGACCATTTCATTATGTTGCTCAGGCTGGTCTCAAACTCCTGGACTCATGACATCTGCCCACTTTGCCCCCCCCGCCTTAAAGTGCTAAGATTACAGGCATGAGCCACTGTGCCCAGCCAGAAATTGTTTATAGAAGCCAGAAATAGCTTCTATAAACAATTTTATAGAAATATGCAGGCATGCATGGCACCTGGGCCATATGGCCTGCTCTGTGAGGGATGAGCCCCATCCCTGACTTGCAGGGTGTCCTGGGTTCTGCAGCAGAGAGATCCCCACTGAGGGGCCCTGAGCCTCTGATCTCCCCTAATGGAAGCACAGGGCGAGGGACTCCGCGTGCAGACAGAGGAGACGGCATCTCCAGGGAATAAACAGGAGGCTGTGGAAGAGAAGGATGAGGCAGGGAGGTGTCACGTGGGGGGTTGTTGAACTCAGGTGGAGCTGGAGGACTGCTCTTGGCCAGGCAAGCAGCGTGAGCAGGAGCGTGGGGTCTGCGTGAGTGCCACACAGAGCTGCTGTGGGAGAGCTCACACGGCACAGTGTGCACAGGGAATGATGCCCTCAGCACTTCCTTGTTGCCCTACAGCCTTTAGTCCATTATCTGTAGGAAAGATGACTCTCTCCCCGGATGCGTGAAGGCTCTGGATCAGGTGAATGAATGCTTAGAGGTCTGGGAAATTGAACTTGGTTCTGTCAGAGGACCCTGTCTCCCTGAGTTTTTAGGGACCAAGGAAACTAACAATGAGAATGGGTGGGGCTCAGTGGAACTGTGGCCTTGGCCTTCAGAATGAGGCCACCTCTCATGGGGAAATCAAGGCCCATCCTGAGCTGCTCTGGCATCATCTCATCCCCAGCACCCTCTCCTTCCCACCCGTGACTTCCAGGTTTGCATCTCCCGAGCTTGGCATACAAACTCTTCCCCCTTCCCTGTGTCCCTCCTGCGTGAGCCCAGACACCACCTCTCAGTGGGACTCAGAGCCCCAGCTTTCTAACAAATGAGGTGAGAATGATGTGCTTACGAGGTCATTTTGAGGACTAAGAGACAAAGCCTATAAAGAAAGCATCTTGCAAAATAGCTGGCAGGTGTTAGACCTGCCAGAAATATTCCTGCTCAGAAGATCAGCAAAAGATATTACCCAAAGTTCATTCAATAAACATTAGGGTGTTAACAGCTAAGGTCTGGGATTTCCAATCTCTGTTACAAAAGATAAGGGAAAGCACGCATCTCCAAGATTAAAATGCAGGTCCTTACTGAGATAAAGAAATTAGAGGAATGCATACACAGCTAACCTTTGAGGTCTGTATCTGCAATCTGTAGGTAATTACTCTCCATGACATGCAGACACAGATGCAGCCACTCACAGAAATATTCAGCAGGGGCATAGTTATTTCATAGCAGACAAAATGTATATTGGGGAAAAAAAAGGATCACATGGAAATAAACCAAAATCTTTTTGCCTTACAGGACAATTTTGAAATTAGAAGACTCTCCTGAGCTGGGATATCTTGGCAAAGCTTCCAACATGTTTTATGCTCCATGCCTGGTGCTGCCTCCTCTCCCCGTCATTTCCATAATGTCTCCCTTAATAAACACTCACAGTCCTATCTGTCTGGGTGTCTGCTTCCTGGAGGACCAGCTCACACCCCAGGGGGTACCAGGTGTGACTCTTCGTACGCTATTCAAACCCAGGCAGATACTGCCTTGCTGGCCACAGAAGCAGGGTTAGTCTTTGGGTGGTGTTGACTGGGAGGGGTTGCGGGGGCCTTCTGGGGTGGGGGAATCAGCCGTGGGTGGAACTTGTGCTCACTGATTTTAAAAATAGTCACTATGAGCCTAGTGGCTGCCAGTGGTGCCTTGTGAGCAGAGAGACAGGAAGGGATTCCTATGAGGTCTCCAACTTCTCATGACAGGGGGCCCAGCCGCAGCTGTGGAGCCAGCGAGGAGCCCCGCAGAGGTTCGGGGTTTGTCACAGCCCTTTCCCCACTGAGCCGGCTGCCCCCAGGAGCACCAACTCCAGGCAGCTCTGAGAGAAGCTGAGCTGGGAGCAGATATTTCTCAATCAGTCCTCTACCCCCCACCATCTTTCTGTAGTTTTCTAATTACAGCACCTGCACACCTGTGGCCCACATCTGTGCTGCCCCAGGCCAAGGTAGAGTGCACCAGCCAATGCCAAAAGCCACCTGCCCTGGCTCCATGCTTCCATGCCACCAATGGCCGTGAGCATAGCCACCAATTTCCACCTCTTCTGGTACCATGAAGATGAATCTTGACAGTGTCAGCTTTTTTTCAGAATGGGAATCGGCAGAATGGCTACAGAGACCGCTTTCTGTGCATCAGGAGATCCACACAGAGGCCTCTCTGGAAGCTGCCATCTCTTCTGAAGGACGCTGCCTTCCCAGCCTGACCTGCCTCCTGAGGCAGATGCACTCTCTCCACACAAAGTGTCTGCCAGCCTCCAGCCTCCACTTGAACGGAGGCAGTTACCCCAGTGAGTTATTTCCTCTGAGCTGGAATAACAGACTGAAGGAAGAGGCCCTCGGCAAAATGTGGATGACCTGCCTGTGTGATTGCTGGGGCTGGAGGCTCCAATCACAGGCGCTTCATCCTCATTACACACCTGTAGCTTCATATTGCTTATGAACAATTTTTCTTTGTCGGATGCACTGGAAATTTTGCATCTAAGGGGTGACTGAAAATGTTTAGTCCCGTGAATATCAACAATATGGTAAAC